GTACAGGGGCACATATATATGGTGACTGACAAATAATAATGTACACCTGAAATTTCACAATGTTATAAACTATTATGACCTCAATAAAATAACTAAAAATAAACAAATAAAAAATAAACAAGACTCCCTCGCTCAGTGATTGTAAAAACAAAGAAACAAAGATCTTGAATTACATCTTGAATTCTGTCATTTCTATGCAACGAGCTTTGAGGTTTTGTATTTCAAATTTAAAACAAGTTTGAAACTGAATTCCAGGGTATAATAGTTTTGTTTGGCAAGTGCACATTTTAGTTCATACATGAAATGTTTTATTGAATTTGAATATCTTTAAAGTTGCAATTTGCTCTTCTTTTTAAATTGTTAATTACTTGTTTTAAAACTAAAGAATGAATTGAGAAAATAATGATTATTACTGATTATTATATGGTAATTACTGAAAATAATTTTATCACATAGAGGCGGGAATGTTAAAAAATGATCCACTCTAGGCTGGCCCAGTGGCGTAGTGGTTAAGTTCACGTGCTCCGCTTCAGTGGCCTGGGGTTCGTGGGTTTAGATCCCAGCTACGGACCTACATGCCGTTCATCAAGTCATGCTGTGGCAGCAGCCCACATACAAAATAGAGGAAGATTGGTACAGATGTTAGCTCAGCAACAATCTTCCTCAAGCAAAAAAAGGAAGATTGGCAACAGATGTTAGCTCAGGGCCAATCTGCCTCACCAAAAAAAAAAAAAAAAATGATCCACTCTAGACATTAAAAATTCAAGTTCAGTCACTGCAGTGGATTACACAGTGTGTTTTTTTAAACTGTGATTGTCATATAGAAGAACTGTCTATGGTCTTTCTGAAAATCTGATCTTGTGGCTTTAAAAAATAATAGTAACTGCTCTTATTGGGCCCTTCATGTTGTCGAAATAACTTTCTAGGCTCAAGATGGAGCCACTCCTGCTGGGGCTACCACATCAGCAAAACAAAGCTTACGTAACTTGCATGTTCCTGTAGATGCTCTGCTTGGCCAGAGCCGCAGTACATCCAGTCAGCCAGCCCCCAACACCAAGCCAGCTCTGGGCTCTCTGCTTCCTTCCTTGTTCCTTCTCAGTCCAAACGAGGTCGACATATGGCTCCAACCAATTAGATATTTTCTATTTTTTCCTTTCTTGTTCTTTATTCTTTATCCCATAAAAGCTTCCTGCCTTCTGCCCCATTTTGCAGTTCTCGGAATGGAGACTGGCCCGCTTCATGAAGTGTTACAGTTTGTTTTATCACCTGAATTGTCTTCTTTAATAATTTTTAACAGTATACATCAGGCATGGAGTTGGCATCTTACAAACATTATTTAGTACTCTCAACAGTTCAACGACGTGGGTATTATTACCCCGATTTAAACGATGAACAAGCCAAGGATGGGAGAACTTTGCTGCAGGTCACACAGAGAGTGAGTGGCAGAGCTGGAGACAACATGGGATTACCTGGTTCTACAGCTTGTTCTTTTAATCACCGCGCCATCAAAAAAGGGATGCTGATGCTGACATTTCAATTCCTGACTAGATTATAGGAGACGCTAAAGGCCAGCGAGATTCTAGACTCAGCTTGTCTAAACAACCACGCTATTAGATAAGACACTGACGCTCGCAAATCAAATCTGTCTCAGAGCTGAAATGCAGCAGAGGAATCACGGAGAACTTCTTCATCCACAGGGAACGAAGCAGAGGCCCTGAGGCACTGTTGCACCAACCATCACACAGCCGCTACTGCATCAAGACACCAGGTCTCTATCCACCGATACCGTGATACCTCCGGGCCTAAATCACACACAATAAACTGCTTTTCCCTTTCCAATTCTCCACTATCTTTACTTCCACAGGTTTGGGCTTGGAAAGGGGAGATTCTGGTTGTGTGAAGCTTAAGCCTGGAAGCAGCGGGCTGCCCATGTCACTGATAGAAAGGAGAATTGCGTGGGTCAGAGGTCACGCAGGTACCCTAGCCGGGATGATTCTGGAAATCCACTATCCTCCTTGGGCTACAATACTCAGCTTCCAGACACAGCTTAACATTGACTGTGCTAACCTGCCTGCACCTGGGTAAAGCCTCCCTTTTACTGTTCCCTGAGAGGGGTGCATGCAGGACCATGCTCTTCTTCCTCCTCTTGAGCCATTCTGTCCCAAAAGGTCTTATGACTTTATTATAGCTCAGTTCATCTGCCTGCCTTTAGAGAATCTGCATTATTTGCCCACAAGTCTGTTTCCCCACGTAGAAAATGTGAGCCCTAGCTTACTCCTTCTAAAATTTTAACGCATGTGACTATTGCTAAATGCACGTTCCTGGGCTTCACCCCCGATGTTCTGATTCAGTAGGTCTGGGTGGGGACCTTGAATCTGCATTTTCAATGAAGGCTTGTTGCAGGTGCTCTACAGACCCCACTTCGAGGTGCTCAGAAGCAATGACATATGTTCTTCAATTCTTCCCAGTTCCTTGTGAATGACAGCCCTGGCTAAGTGTCTGCTGGGGGAAAATTAAGGCCACCTCTATCCTTCCACTGCAAATATACTATTTGGAAATTTTCACGACTCCTTCAGGCTAGGCTTATTTTAATGATCACTGGCATTGATTCTTAATGCCATCTTTCTCAGACATTGTTGTCAGTTTTTTTTTTTAAGGATCCAAAAGTTGTGTGTTAAAGGAGATGTTGCTTAATCAGCAATCTGGCTTAGAAAATCATCAGCAACATTTCATAAACATTTTACATTAACTGTTAAGAAATAGATTGAAAGGTAGACTAAGAAAAAATAATCCATTTGTATGTACTTATAACAACAACAAAAAATACAGCTTAAAAGAAAACACTGGATTTCTCTTTCCCGATAATATAGAGGCCTTTTATTATTTGCAATGTCAAAAAAGAATTGACTAGAAAGGAAATCCAACAGTCATTTTTGCCATAATGAGACCTCCCAAGTGTAATATAGGTAGCAGAAACTGGAATCTGATAGAGTCTGGGAAATCTAGGATATCTTCTTAAAATATAAAATAAAATCTCAGGGTTCTTCTGCCAGCTTTTGTGACAGTCGTTATTTTTACAATTACACCAAAGTTTTAAAATATGAGCAAAACAATAGGAAGCATATGTTTCTTCAACATCTGTCAACAGTTTGTGAGACAAAATAAATAAATAAATAACAGAGGACTTGGTGATTTGCTCTACTAGTCACTCCAGGGCATCAGACAAGGTATTTACCAATTACTATAGCATCTCCTGGCATTAGTGGACTACTGGAGGGTTTTCCCAATATTTGTGAGAAATTCCTCCTGGAAATCCATTTGTCATATGTGACTTCGTGATCAAATTGTACAACCCAAAACTGAACCACTTGGAAGTCTGGTGAGCAAAAGTAAATTTAATTCTATTTTTATAAAAATTTCATCTAAAATCCAGGCAAACCATTCTAAACCAAACATCTGTGTAGTTCTAACTTCAAAATAAAAATAATTAAAAGTTAAAAACACTCAAAAGCCTTCCTTTTCATGCTCTTCCACCATGCCCTATCTAAAGCTCTGTGAACTTCCCATTAAGTTCCTGGAAGGTGCTGCTGTCCCCTGAGACGTCAGAGACACGTTTGCTGGTCACCTGTGAGGCTCTGTCTCAATTTATTCCACCCAAGTGAGGAGTCAGATTAGGACCAATCACATACTTTGAAAAGAAAAACTCTATATCCCAAGGTAAAAGAGCAATGGCAATATAACATTTTAATTTCCCTTGATGTTAAAGAATATCCTGAAGAGATGCTGGTTTAAAAATAGAGTAATTAGTGAGTATCCAAACTTAAGCAGATTTACATTTTTCAGAATGAACCACAGTGGGAACAAAAGTGGAAGAAAAATCAACTTCAGGCCATAATCTCTGTGGCCCTCACTTTCTCCAGATCAGATCTACAGAGTAGGGTAAATAGCTTTCTCCATAAGAAGTGTTGGCTAATTTAATTGTTTTCCAAAAGTAATGTGGATGTGAAGATCTCTGTCACCCACGTTTTCAGGAAAAAAGAAAATGGAACAGGGAACGTTATCTTGTGTTTACGTTTCAAGATGACTTGTTACTCAATTTACTTGAATTTACAGACAAAACAGACCTTTGGAAATTCACTCATCTAAATCAATGAATTGTTCCTATCCTACATGACCCCAAATTAAGTGATTCCTAAAGACCGTACCTTTACTCAGGCTTTAAAATTGAGCCCCAAATGGATGTAGCATTCTCTGGGTCTCGTGGGATGTTTCCCTTTTCCTTTAAGCTGTTTCACCCAATCTTGCTCTTCTCTGGTGTCTGGAGATGACAGAGCGGTGCTGGGGGCCATGCTTAAACACACCTGGATGCTCTACCTGTCTGAAAAGTTCCTGACCCGGGCTGGTGGGAATCATAGCAGGCTGAGGGCCCGGGGGTTCGTCTCAGGCCTTCCACTTGACGTGTATGACTTTGTGTAAGTCATTTAACTTCCTGGGGCCTCAACGTCCTCATCTATAAAATAGAAGAGATTGGATCATCCCTTTTAGCTCTAGCTTTCTAGATTGTGTGACATATCACTGGCAAAGTCCCTCCACTAGTCAAGAGAAAGATACAAGCCTCCAAATAACAGGAGCCTCTATGGTTTACAATGATAATAGCTAACTTTCACTGAGGATCCACAATGTGCCAAGCAAAATGCTAACTACTTTACACCCACCACACTACTAAATAGGAAAATAGGAAGTTCTTTGTTATACCTGCACATTTCAGTGTCGAATGCTCTAGAAGCTGTAATTGCTTTTACATACACTGCTTGACTCAGCCAGTATAGAAATCACACTTGTGTTATGGTCATAGAGCATTGATACATCAACCTAACAAGACTGCAAGTGTCAAGGATCAAAGTAAATCTTTGGAGTGACTGATAAGGAAAATATCCTTTTAGATATATTCCTTGTAACATGGTATAAACACATGTAATACCCAGATATGCTAATTTCACTTATCTGAAGAAATATGAGACATATAAAGGGCACAGGGTCCCCAGGAGTGACAAACTAACCTTCTTCCTGGTGATGGAGTCTTTAAATAACTGAGGTTAGAACATCCTGAGAAAGGGAACACTGATAATAAAATATTACCCAATGTTTACATTTCAGTTTCAGTGAATACTTGTTTCCATCCCAGAACAGAATACCAACTTGCAAAGTCTTGCCAATATTCCATGGAAAATCTGATGACCTAAATTTGCTAAAGTCCAAAAGATGTCACCCTTTTGTGACCTTTTTGGCATCTGTACTTCTATCCACTTAAAATGTGTACTTGAGGCAACCAGCACATAGCTGGATGAGACCAGATAACTTTGTACATTTAAGGTATTTACGGTAGCCAACATGTTGTAATGGAAACTTTTTGATCCTTATAAAGTAAACTGAATAACAAGTTATAATGAATTATAAACACATATGATAATTATCAACCAAAATTTTTTCACCATGAGTAAAAATATGTGTTGTAGATACAGTATGTTAAAAATTTTGAAAGTTCCACACCAAATTGTAATTTACACTAATAAACAAAACAAAACAAAAACAACAGATTGTGGAGCTCAACTTCCTCGTCATCAAAGAATGTGAAATTCTATACTCAGAGAAGGCATTTGAAACCATCAGTGTTAATTTAGTTTCAAAACTTTATTAAGCAAAATGCAATGCCCAGGTAGTACAGGAGTGTGCATGTACCTCCCCCAACACACATTAACCTTAACCACCTAGTTTCAAAACTGTAGTACAATGAAAAGGAAAAAGCTTCGAGTTACTGTTATTCTTTCCATAACTTTTAAACATTTGAAAATATAAAGAAGAAATTTTAAACTTGTCAATTCAGATTGAGGCATGAAAGTCTCAGGGGCAATGATGGAGTAATGAAAGGAAAGATCTTAAGGCAGAATTGGGTCTTTTTATAATGACCCAATATAGCTGTGTCCCCACCTACTTCAGCCCCTGGCAGACATGTGACCTTGCAGAGATATGCTACAAAACGAATGAGTCGGTAGGCTGTTTTTTGGCTCCTTTCCTCCAGGCCCCACCCACATAACTCATTGACAATCCATACACTAAACCCACATCAACTGCTCATAGGAAAACACCCATTTGCAAATATGCAAGTGTGTCCTACCAGATGCAGGGATTGAGCCCACCTACTCAAAGATGGGCAGACACAGAGCAAGCTTTCCATAGAATTCTTGTACCAATAAAGTGTGGGGTTTGGGGACGTGGGAAGGGCTCTTGATCCGAGGACAGCCATGGCTAATGTGGGCATGCCACCCACTTTAATGCCTATGTACTAAAACAACGTTTTTCTAGCAGTACTTTAAAAAATACACAGTGAAAGTCTACCCAGAATCCTGGGAGAATCCATTCATTCATTAATTTTTTTGTTTCAACAACTATTTATTGACTACCTACCATTCTCCTAGTAGAATGTCCTGGGGATACCATAAATAGACAAAGTTTCTGCCCTCATGAAACTTACATGATAATGGGGGAGACAAAGGTATTATGAGAATAACCAATGCATTCATGTAAGTGAATTTTACCAAGTTAATTTCTTCTTGGTAGTAGCACCTTGGGTACCACGACAGAACTGGGCACTTGACCTGGGAGACTGAATATATCTGTATCCTAATTTCTAGGCTTTTCTCTGGTGTCTCTATTTCCTCTTCAACAGTATCACTCTAAAGTTGTATATCTGCCACTAAGACATGTTAGAAAGATATTTAAACTTGTGTGGCAAAATAATAGTGCCAAGTATTAATCAATGTTTTCTTCCCTTGGTATTTCCTTCCTTCACTAGTAGAGAAAAGTGCAAATTCATATTGCACTTTAAAAGAACTTCTGTTAGAGTCTTGGAGTTTTAAAACAGGCTTATAGGGAGAAAGCTAAGTAAAGGGCTTGATGCTTCTTAACTAAATGAAGGCAAGGCTTTTATATAAGAGTAAGTAGCAGAATGAAGTTAGAGAGGCCACAGAGCTGGTGTGTGCATCACAACTTCAGGTGAGTGAACTTGATTCCCAGCAATAAACATTCTATCAAATTCAATTTCCTTTCACAAACTTATAGTGAGTAAATGCAATTTCCCATTTCAAGCAAGCATGTCTCTGAGATTAAGGATATAGTCCACAGAACATAACAATAAAGTTTAGAGTCAGTATTTCTCCAAGGGAATTCTTGCAAACTAGTCAGAGGATGATTTAATGATAACAAGATACAGAATAAATATAAACATGGGGGAGAAAAAGACCTTCACCCCAACCTTTCTGTTTATATTCTTAGTGTGTTTAAAGTGAGCATCTTATAGTTTCCAGCTATTATACATTAAGATGTTCTGGCGAACTCAGTGCTTTGTCTTCACCAAGCTCCGTGCCAACATTCTTCAAAGTTCTGCATTAAACTGATCACTGAAGCTTTGCTCACAATGTCAGCCAAGCCTGAATCAAACAAATTTCCGAGAAGACCTAACTTTCTATTTCCATTAGTCCTTAGTATCACCCTGATGCTTTCAGCTGGGGGCTTATTGCCTCGGGGACCAAGTGATGGTGCCTAAAGAGGAAAACAAGGCATTTTCTCTGATTTGTTCAAAAGTCCAATCCTCTAAGGAAAACTGAAAGGATTTTTGTGCAGAAACAATATAACAGATTTGTGAGAATGCTTGATTATGTAAGTGCACGCCTGCTGCCCCAGAGATCTGAGAAGATTCCCTACAGCAGAGGGAGGAGCGGCAAGGAGTAGATGCTGGGGGCCTTGAGGGAAGGGGCCTGCAACTGAAAACACAGTGGAATGACGGAAGCTGATTCCTCTTTCCTGGACAGAATGTGGGTAGTGGCAAGATCCTGGGCAGAAATGGCTGCCTCTTGTATCAACATGAATTTGCCAGAGGCAGCCACATGGTTGACCCCTGCCCAGTGCTGGGTGGAAGCAGCTGCCTCATCTTCCTGTGCCTGGAGATGCATGGAAATGGTGGAGACCTAAAGCCTTGCGGTGGGGTATGAGGCATGACACACAGCAAGGACCAGACGGAATCGAGGACATTTCAGGGATGCCAGGAGGAACAGGTGACAGCTCGGATCAGACGGACCACCTCCCTGCCGCCCCATCCCCCTCGTGCCTCGCTATCACTTAAATTCCCAGTTCTCTTTAATAGACTAAAACTAAGATTTTGCCCCCTACGGAATAGGAAGGAGCTTGAAATAGAAATTAAGTTATAGAAAACTAAAGTTCCATTTCTTGCACACCTAAGTTTATGGACAATGTTCCTAGCTGCTTTGTTTTTGTAAAGAATTTGGTTTTTCAGCTTAATTGAGGTTAGTTGGGTTGGTTCTGGGCAGGAGCTTGTTCAGGCAAACAGTTTCTGTCTTTCGTTCAGGTGGTTTTGTTTTGTTTGTTTGGTTTGAGGGAGTCAGCAGGAAGGGAAGGGGATCTCTTCAAATTAGAGTGGAAAGCATAAGTGGTTGATTTGAAGTCACTAGTTTGAATCTTGGATTGGCAAAGACTTTTTCTAGATAAGCTAAGAAAGTCTGATAAAATTAGAAGCACCAGGATTAAAATTCCTTGGTATCACATTTAACCTTCCTCTCAAAGCTGGTATAAAAGTTTGAAAAGCTGAATGTAATCAGTGATTTTTCAACCCTGGCTATACGTCAAAGCATCCACAGAACTTTTTATAAATAGATATACCCAGGCTTATCCCTGACCCATTGAATTGAATCTCTCCTGGTGGGACCTTGTTCTTAACAGCCTTTTCTGAGCAATCATTTTTTGAACGTCACAAGGCCCTGGAACAGCTAGTGTTGAGGAGGTCTGAGAAACCTCTTCTAACGCAACAGCCTACGAGCTTTATCAAAAACCGTGGAAATGACTATTACTGCATTTATTCAAAAATACTAAGCACCAATGATTTGATAGGTTCTCTAGGAGTTACTATACACAGATAAATAGCCTTTTAAGACTTGCATGCAAGATGAAATGCTGTTTCAGCTTCAACACCTCAATAAGAGGCATTACATAAACCCAAAGATGAACTACAGCCTAGTGCCTCCCTCTTGAGTTGAGCTGGGACTTTCATCAGAAGCCCAGAGCTAAGCAGGCGTCCTCGATCCTGTCACTCATGCTGTCCATTCCCTGTTCAACTAGAAGAAGCAAACCCTGTCAAGACACCCGACAAGTCTCTTGTTTCTCGTGGGGAGGGGTGGTGGTAAGGGATGGAAGCTTGACAAGGCAGCGATGCTTCCTCACTCTTACATAGCGGTGAGTCCTGACTCGCCCAACTCCCGAGCAGTGTCGTCAGCCACCTGGGAGCCGGTCATGCTCACGACACGGATGACCACAAGGGACTTCGGCAGGTACCAAGCAGCCTTCTCTGACGACTCCATACATGATAACATCTCCAGAATGCTGCTTTGATCATGTCACTGCTCCAAAGCCTTCAGTGAGTCCTCTGCCCACAGATGGCTTGCAGGCCCTGAGGACCTGACCTGCCTCTTCTAGCCTATTCTTCTCCTACTGCCCCAGAATAACTCTCCTCCAGCCAGACAGCCTTATTCTTCCACCTCAAATCCTTACCCACCTCTAAGCCTTGCTCTTCAATCTGCCTGCAACTTCCTTTCCCTTATCGTGGCCCACTGATCACCTACCCAGCCCACGCCAAGTGCTCCCTCCTCCACGAAGCCTTCTGTAACGGTCCGCTACAGCAGCCGTAACAGAGTGCCACAGACTGTGGGGCTTGAACAATAGATAATTATTTTCTTACAGTTCTGGAGGTCATAAGTCCAAGAGCAAGGTGTCAGCAGAGCTGGTTCCTTCTAAGGCTGTGAGGGGAGGATCTGTGCCAGGCCTTTCTCCTTGGCTGGTAGATGGCCGTTTTCTCCCTGTGTCTTCACATCATCCTCCCTCTGCCATGGCTGTGTCCAAATTTCCTCTTCTTATAAGACCAGTCATAGCAGATTAGGGCCCACCCTAAAGACCTCGTTTTAATTTAATTACCTCTTTACAGACCCTATCTCCAAATGCAGTTACATTCTAAGGTACTAGGGGT